GAAAGAGTTTCTGTAGCGAAGATGTTGTGACACGTGATTTAGAAAAATAATGGGGTGGTTTTGTGGTTTTTTTTTTTGTTTTTACTGGTGAGGTTTTATCAGATTAAACGCATTGCAAAAGCAGTTACACACAACTACAAGGAAAAAAAAAAGCAGCTGTAGGTATTAATACTGGCTTGAATGTATGTATCCATATAGGTATAAACAGAGTTTTCAATAGCACCATAACAAATTCAAGGGATTCTAATGATGCTTATAAAATTATAAATATATGTTCTGTACTGTAGATCATTACAGCAAGAGATGGATTTGCAAGGTTTCTGAATTTGCCTGTTCCTATTTTCTCAGTTGCACAAGTATGCAGGAAAGTACTAAAATCCCAATGTACTTTAACAGCACTGCATCAATACCTAGTCATACAAAAAGTTTCTGCAGTACACACATTCTGAGGTAGACAGATCTCACGTATACATACTTGTTTTTATGTATATAGATGTATATATATCTCCTGATTAAGGTGGTTAGTCAGAATGCTGTCTGGTGGCTTTAATTTCATGTCTACAACAGGTGCAGCCAGTGCCTGTATACTCAGGGTGCACAGAGGGTGGACACAGCCCTGTTCATACTCTGAGTGCCTCACTGGCTAGAGCCACTCCCTTATTTACACTAGGACAGTAACAACCATACAAACAGCTCCAAAAAGGCCCAGTATGTTAGTTTGTGTACAAATCCATACCACCTGCACTCACTGTTTCATTAAAAGATTATAAAAATGGTAGACCCATGAACTCATTTGTTCTCTTCTGCCAGTTCAAGCAATGTTAAAGACAGGAAAAAAACCCTAAACACATGTACCTGAGTCTACTAACAGTAAGGTAAGACCAGAGCCAAGTTCAATTCCATTGCTCGTACGCATTCACACACCACACACCACCCAACAAACCCAGCCACCCAGCCCAGATGTGGAGTTCTGCCTAATCCAAACATTGAAATACAGCTATTCTATACCCTCATCTGCAAGAACAGCAGCACTTTTTGGCCTTTTTGTGGCTCTCCTTTCCATCGCCACAGTTCAGTAGGCTCCCTTTCATTCTGTGCTCACATACTGCCAATACTATGGCATAGCCTATTTTTAGTGACTTAACAACTGTGTCAGACAAATACTCTCACAATCATACTACATATGCTATACCGTGTACAGCTTGCAGAAATCACTTTCAACTCCTGTTTTTAAAAAGCCAACTATTTAAAACAGCCTTTCAAACAGTGCAGTGAATCCTGATAGATGCTATTGAGGGTGCATTCTGTAACATATACAGTTATATCTGTGTATAGATCTATGCACACATACAAACATGTATGTGTATTACCTTGCATCCATTAGGGCTGATGCAAGCAAAATTACCAGTTAAGGACAGAAGGTGCTAAAATGATCTTGTCTGACCGTCCCTCTACCCCCTGGCCCCTAGGCAGCTAGAAATTGTGCTAAAGAAAATGCTATGGTTTCATAAGAAAACTGGTAAAGGAAATATAAAGCTGCTTGTAATGATCGGTGAAGTGAAAACTGTGCAATATCACCCAAAGTTGCCAAAGAGCCTCTGTATCAATAGCTAGTGAGAGCAAATTCTCTCTAAATCAGAAACTGATTTCTGCAAGCCACAACTACATAAGGAATGTTTATATTTTAAAAGGTTCACAAATCTAGCACTTTTGAGTATTTGTCATTATGTGGTGCAATTTACGCCACAGCAAAATATCAGGGCACATTAAAATAAACTGAAATTATTTCTATTCATCTTACCAAATCAACATGCATAGGGGAGTATCAAAACTTTACTAATATATAAAGTGAGAGAAAGCAATAACTGGGCAAAAATGGCAAATATTGGTTTCCCAGATTTTCAGAAGTCTTCAATGCAGCATAATAATTTATCACCATTCACTATATCATTAGGTATGTTCAATGCTCTACAGAACAACTTGAATAAAGCAAATGCAATCAGGCATACTATATAAGACAACAACACTTTGTAAAAATATAGTTTTTAAAGATTCAGAATGTGAAAAGCAACTAAATGAAACTTGGTGTCAAAAGCAACATCTCAAAATCATCCCACAACATTCTAACTTATTTTTTTGTAACTGTAAGAGATAAATCAGTCTGAGCTACATGGAACTGTGAAGTGATTTCAGTATCTGTAAACTTAGTGCTGGTAGTGTCTTGTTGAGTTGCGACTTCTTCCTTCCATACAAAAAAAGTATAAATAGTTTCTGTCCAGAAATCTAGGTAACACATCCTTAGAAGAAATATTCAGAAGAACGCTATGAAAGCACTACAGTCTTCCAAAATTCAGCTGGTTTGTGTCATGTGATTAGTGATGCACTAAGAAGGTGCCAGATGATATTCTCTGCAAAATACTCTGTCCAGGAGGACAATAAAGTTCTCTTACAGCAAGTCCATTTTGGGTCTGTAATGTAGCAGTAGAGGTGCTTTCTGCAAGACAGAAATATCAAATAAGTTAAGAAACAAAACCAGAACTAATCTGTTCAGTAGGCAAAACTTTTGTTTCATAAACTAAAGCTGAAATGATCTATCAGAGTAGCGATCTGACCTTCACCAATTCTTCAATTTCACCAAGACAAAGACGATGCATTTTCATCTGTGGAACCCAAACAAGAGATGAATAATCCTTTCCTTTTTATCTCAAAAGCTGATCACCATTAACAGCAGTTGTACTACGTCTGTTTGACTTGGAAAACCCATCCCCAGTAAGAGAGAAATGCAGGTGTCTAGAATGCAGCATAAAAGCACGTGGAATGTCATATTTAACAGCTCACTTGATTCTCTTCTGTGAATGTATCCATTGCTTTTTTATGAATAGGTAAACTTCTAACATACACAAAATCTTGCACCAATGAGTTCCCTGTCTCATGTAACGAATTGCTTCCTCTTGTTTGTTCTGGCCCTACCACCTCCCAGTTTCATTCTAAAGCCCCCACCTCCTTCATTTGAGAAGGCAGTTTACAGTGCCCTTTTCCATGTGACTCACATACTTCCACAATAAAAGTGAATAGTAGACTTGTACAGATGCACATCAATGTGATGCTCTTGTTTGGTTCTCTTCCCCTCTCTGCCCCCCCATAAAAATCTCAAACATTTTCTTTGTATCCTTTTATGTTTACCTACATTGAACTTAAAGTACTCATTAATCACCTGTCACTCAAAACTATAATGGCTAGCTTCAATTCTTTGTCATCAATCTACCTTCACTATTCTAAATAACCACTACGTAGTCAGTGCACTGTTACTGTCACTCAAATCTCTTTCCAGGTCATTCAGGAACATCACACAAAACAGATTCCAGTAGGATTCTACTTGTGACCTCTCCACATTTCAAACTGACCGTTGACTTCAATCCTCCGACTCTTACACAAGTCAATTATTTTTCTCCACAAAGACAGGAAAACACTTCCCTGCTCCCACCTGCACCTCTTCTAGATATGCAGCTGAAGCCATTAAGTAGTTCTACCTCAGTGTACACTGTAAGCTCTGTGTTGCTTGTCCATTGTGAATACTAACTCCTACTTCAAATATCTCCAAATACAGATACACTGGCTCTGTACATGTGACTTGCCTCCTAAGTGTTCAATTTTGCAATTCATTCTTACACCCATTTCACTTGAGTTGCCATTATGAATGTGATAATTAATACTGAGAATGAATGCTCCACTGTTCAGTTTCAAGGAAGTTGTTTAAAGAAACCATAATAAGCAAGTCAAAGATGTACTCAGACATTTTTAACCAGCTTTGTCTATGTCCACCTATTAAATGTTGCTAGACATTTCCTTAACCAAAGCAGAGAAGGATTGCAATTACTGCCTCTCTTTTAGAAGTAAAACAGCCTTCTTGAGCTACAGAAAAGAACTGTGTTAGAAATTTCTGCCTTTTCTGCACCACAATTAACTACGTAGGTTAAAACCAGTTTTACCTGAAATAGATAAAAATAATGCTTTCTTGTGGCTTCCACTTTTGTCAGACTTGACAACAATTTGACAGCTGATGCAGTGTTCCCTTTTCCCTTGCAATTACTACTTAATTCCCCTTTCCTTCACTTTCTTGGAAACAAAATTAACACTGGGTGTTTAAGGATGCTGTATTAGATATTTATTAAAGTATATTTTTATTGAATTTGCAGTTACTGCAGTATAGTTCCAAATTATGCCTACTTTTAAAACACTTTTTTGTCCGCTTCATAATTTACTTGGAACCACTGTGTCATACCTTAAATCTCCATCTAGTAACAACTACAAACTTGAGCGTGTGGTCCTTGCCAAGAATCTCTTCATTGCATAATATGTCCAGCTGACAAAACAAAGATGACAGTTAATTCATTGAGACACAGTATATGAAACAACATATTTCAGATAATACTACAAATATTTGACAAGATATTTTTTTCTCTGGAGACACTGACTTGTTCATCTTGCAGTCACTCTACAGATAAAAACAGTACCAGTACAGAAAAGAGAGTGTCTTTTCTCAACATAAAGTGCTGAAAGACCATGTCTGTGCCCGCCTAGGAAATACTGCATGAACAGGACTTAACTGATTTAGATTCCCAACTCACTTTCCTGAAAGCTTTACATGCTTTTAAAAAGGCCCAATAAAATGGTCAAGGAGACAGAATTCACAAATCACAAAGTCAGCTCTGTTATTTACTATACTAGGAAAAATTTTTACCTAACACGAGCCAGGTAGCCTTCTTCTACAAGGACACACTTTTTTAAAAAAAATTGTCTGCCACCTCCCTCACATACCCTAATTATGGTTTTTTCTGCAGATACTCAATAGCTATTTTTACTTTTCTATCTCAGTGTTGAAAGATCTTATATTAGAAACAGTAAGGATATAAACATAAAAACATGTGGCTCATATGACTACTAATCAGCTGAGCTACAGTAGCTGAACACAAAATAAAAGAGGGAACATGCATGAAAACAGTAAGATCCACCAAGGCGGCTCATATTAACAACGCGTTACCACACAACCCAGAAAGGCCTGAATGTGCATGCAGTCCAGTTACATGGCTTATCTAATTGGCAATAACTCAAACCTGAAACAGCCTATAGCAATCAACCAAGTGTCCACAAGCTTAAATCCTTCTACTATGTACCCATTACTTGGTACTGGTACACAGATTATACCAAAATTTATGTACTCTCTAAGAGGGCAGGGATGACAAAGGAATAAACAGTACTCCTGAAAGCTTATTCCTTCATTATAACTCGAGCAGGTTGTTAAATCACAGACTGGCACAGTGGAATGGAGGGCTTATGCATACACAAAAAAATATTCCCTTTTGAAGAGTCATGGTAGCTATGTTGCTGCTGGGCTACAGCCAGGAGTCAACCACTTCCAAGCCAGCTGAGGACAAGACAGGAGATAGAGTTTTGTTTCAGGAAGACAAGCAGAGTTTGGGGACATACTCCAGCCATAAGACACAGTGTTGGGTTGAAGTGACCAGAAGTCAAAAAAGGAAGAGCAATACAGATGCAAATTGGCGGTTGAAGAGTTTGAGCAGAAAGGTGTTGACACGTTGGACTGGAAAGCAGATTATTTAATTTGAAGGAGAAGCCTTAACGAATGAATGGACAGGCTTGAGAGGTGGGCCAATGCAAACCCCATGAAATTTAACAAGGCCAAGTGCAAGGTCCTGCATGTGGGTCGAGGCAATCCCAAGCACAAATACAGGCTGGGCGGAGAGTGGATAGAGAGCAGCTCTGAGGAGAAGGACTTGGGGGTATTGGTGGATGAGAAGCTCAACATGAGTGTCAGTGTGCGCCTGCAGCCCAGAAAGTGAACCGTGTCCTGGGCTGCATCAAAAGAAGCATTAGCAGCAAGTCGAAGGAGGTGATTCTCCCCCTCTACTCTGCTCTTGTGAGACCCCACCTGGAGTACTGTGTTCAGATGTGGGGCCCCCAACATAAAAAAGACCTGGACCTGTTGGAGAGAG